TATATAAAACATGCAACGGTTATTTTTCAATAAATAGGCAATAACCTCGAAATATATTTAAGATAATTAAAGCCTATGTGGTTAAAAAGAATAGCAGACAAGCTTGTTGTTATGCATACTTACGAAACGTATCGTTCTATCCTGTTAAAAACTAAGATTACGGTGAAAATCGCTCAAGTCGGATATTTTCATCCAAACTCAAATTAAAACGTGTCAAGCGATCTCTTTTCATCAAGTAGGCGTGTAGTTTTCTAAATGGCTCAAAAACGATGCGAATGACGCATGACAACTTCAAATCAAAAAAAAAAAAACTTCAAGCTAGAACAATTCTTCTCATCGTTAGTGAACCTTTAAAAAATGTAAAATATTTCAACTTGTACTATATAATCAGAAACACGAATGAGACAAAGGAGAGTGAGAACCGATAGTCACTAAACAGATTTCAAAGGCAGGTAGACACCTATCTCCGATGGATGTATAAGTGTTTGAAGAAATACTTTTGAATATCCCACTGTCTCTTTCAGTATTTTATAAAATCTGTTCTTTAGTTTCGTGGTAAAAAGAAGATATGTATATTCAATAAGAGTTTATGTAGACTATTGATGGTTTTTTTTTTACATACTCTGATATCATAGTTATGTTGAAATATGAACTACGATTGAGAAACACGCATGCGTTACGTAACAAAAATAATTTTGAAATCGATTACATTGATATCCTAAAATTTTGTAACCACGAGTACTTAAATAATGTGTCCATAAAAATATTGTTTTGTATAAGATTTGCACGATCACGATATGTATGGTGGCTAATCATATATTTTTAGCCGCGGCATAGCAGCTCATAGAATGGCTTTGTTTTGTTGTTTTTTTTGTTTGTTCAAGCACAAACTATTAACTCATAGCTCCGTCATCTCTTGACGGATTTAATATCTAATTTCTAGTTTTGGATTCAAGAGGTAAAATCATTTCGATTTATGTATTTCACTACGCCCAAGGTTTCATGGGTTAATTTACTCTAAACCTGCCTAAAAGAATTTCAGTTTGAGGGTAGGTTGATAGAGATGTTGATAGGTAATAAAATCGATACGGATATACACGCGCCCCACTTATGGTATTGCTAGCTCACAAAAAATACAGCTAATATAAAGGAAGAAAAGGTCTCATAGAATAATTTACTCTAATCTAGCCTAAAAGAACTTAAAGTGCTGTGGCTGTTGAGAATTCCCTCTTGTTGTTGGAGTAAAATACACCCTTTTTCAAAATAATAACTTAAAAAAATCAATTTATGAATAATACAGAAAAAACGCATTATTGATATGTTAAAATTGTCCATAAAATCCCGTTAAAAATAAAGATAGACAAATATATATCTTAATAAACGGTAAATCCCTTTGATACAGTTGGAATTACTTTGTACTGCAACAGTACAAGACGATGAAATAATTATAAGTTACGTAAAATAATGTTTTTACAAAGTTAAAAATTATTTGTTTTTCTGCCACAACGGTGCGCATTCACTTAGGAGTGATAATTTACAGGATCGACAATAATTTATTATTTTATTACAACTTTGGGCACTCAACAAGGACTTATGAAACTAACAATAATTTATTCTTCTATACAACAATAGACATTGAAGTAACAACGATGGCTTACAAAAGTTAACAATAATCTATTATTCTAATACAACAATATGACATTAAAGTAAAAATGATGATTTATAAAGCTAACAATAATGTATTCTTCTATACAACAATAGACATTGAAGTAACAACGATGGCTTACAAAGTTAACAATAATCTATTATTCTGATACAACAATATGACATTAAAGTAAAAATGATGATTTATAAAGCTAACAATAATTTATTCTTCTACTACAATAATGGACATTTAACTAATGAAGATGACTCGGAAAGTTAATAATAATTTATTTTTATGTTATAACAATCCATTTTGACTTAACAGTACTGGTTAAAGAGGCTAACAGTGATTCATTAATATTTAAAGCGGAAGGTTTTTCAGACTTTGTAATGCCTACTGGAGGGATTTAGACATTTTGGCAAAAAAGTAAGAAAGCTACACAATAGGTCATCTGTGCTCTGTCCACCGTGGGTATCGAAACCAGGTTTCTTGCGTTGTAAGTCCACAGAAATCCCGCTGTGCTACTGGAGGGAGGGGGGGGGTAAGTAAGAAAGAAACAAGCTTTACTCTTCAGATAATAATATAAGACTTTTTATTTCTGCCAACGTTTCACCATTGCGGCTTCATCAAGAATAGTAGTACCTCTGATGAAGTCGCAATTGCAAAACGTTGGCTCAAATACAAAGTTTTTGTTTTATTATTCTCTGGAGAGTACAGATCGTTTTCTCTAACTTTATATCTAAAATGGAAAGTGGTCTTCTGAGAATGTTTACAGACACCATTAGTTTGCCAAAAAAATAAGCTACGTCATATAAAAGCTTTCTTTTGTCCTAAGAATGTATTTACTGAATGCTACATTTCAGTCTTTGGCCTACATTTAGACACAGCTGATGTAGGCCTAAGGCCGAAACGTATCACCCTTTAAAAACCTTTTTTTTAAGGATGAAATAAAACAAGGAAATAATTTAATCATATACCAGGACTATACAAATAGAGTAATTGACAATTTACAAAGCTAGCATCAGTTTCATCTCTACTACAAGCGAATCCAGTACAACTAGACACCTAAAACAATGACGAAGTAGGATATTCAAACACCACTTGTTTATTATAAAATAAAATAATAATTATAATAATTTACTCCATTATATGACCTGTGTAGATCTAGGCCTATTTTATTAAAATTTTAAATCTACTCCATAATTTGACCTACATAGATCTAGGTTTATTATATTACCAGTTTAATTTACTCCATTATATGACTGTATAGATCTAGGCTTATTGTATTAAAATTTTAAATTTACTCCATAATTTGACCTACATAGACCTAGGTTATTACATAACCAGTTTAATTTACTCCATTATGACATTTATTAGGTGTCTAAATATATTACTTCCTCATTTTTTATATGTCTAATTGTCCGGTTACCATTTCAAGTACGTATAGAGTTAAAAAGAAGTTTTAATATAAAATTTTCGGCTGGGTAAATAAGACTGTTTATAAACATGTAGTTTCTGGAATAGTTTGGTGAAATTAAAAATATGTTCGAAAGAACTTACAAAATCATTTAAAGTGGAATTTTTAGCCGTGGCATAGCGGCTCATAGAATGGCTCCGAGTTGTTTTGTTTTTTATCAATTACAAAATTTTAGCTCATAGCTCCATCATCTTTTGACGGACTGGAGATCTAATTACAGTTTTGGAGTCAGGAGGTCAAATCTTTTCGATTGATGTATTTGACTACGCCCAAGGGCTCATAGATTAATTTACTCTAATCCTGGCTAAAAGCATTTCAAGTGCTGCGACTATTGAAGATTCCCTCTTGTTAAATTTTAAATAACAAATTTCTGTCAACTTTGTAAAAAATATTTATTGACAGAAATGCTGTTGGCATATAACATTACGACAGCCCAATTTCGGGATTCAAGTTCTATTCAAAAGGTCAATAGAGGTCGAAGGAAAAGGTCAGAAAAAAAAGAAGGTAAAATATATATAAAACATTCTGTTCGGGTGTTGAGGTTAAATTTTATTTCATGCTTATACATCATGCGTTTAAATATAGTAAATATATATTACATACATACATATATATATATATATATATATACATACATGTAAATTGTAAAAAATAAATCAATAAAAACAAATTATTATAACTTTGTTTGGAACATCTTGTAAAATAATAGGTACGTATATTCACTTGCATATAAAACAGAAGCTCTATTTTGCACAGTACTTATTAGAATGTATAGAATTTTACATAACTGTATAATGTGGTAATTTCATTATATATAGGGATTTTAATAAAAATAGTGTATGTGTTTATACAAGGCTAAACATCTATTTAAGATTATATTACAATAATGTACATTAGTTGACAGTAACAATGATCCAAACACGTCACTATACATGTTCAGGAAAGTGGTGCATATATATGGATTACAAATTTATGAAGGTCACAATCAGATGAAATTATTCTGCACACAAAACATTCGTTTGTGTACGTACCGGCTGTATAGGATATAACATGAAGACCATAAACTAAAGACCGTTTACAATAGCTATGTGTTCATCAAAGGAATAAAAACATTATGCTAAATTACTATCCCATCAGAAGCGCGTGCTACTCGATACCGCATGTGCGCATGACACGGCCACTCTGCAGAAAATATATATTTACAGGGGGTGGTAATTTTGATTGATCTGAAACCGCAAGTTCTATAATATTAGAAAATATAAACATGATACAATAACGCTTACTTAAAGTAGTAATCCTAAATGAAAACAATGTATATAACAATATATGAAATAACACTAAATAAAAGGCTGTATACGACTTTAGTGCTAAAGCTATCCAAGCAAATGTTTGTGGCCTTGAATTTTGAAACATCAATTGATTGTTATTTTTAAAGACATTATTTAAAAAGCCAGAAAAGCCAGTTTGCTTTTTATAAATTGCACAGTTTTGGGTCGTATTCTATCTCTAATTACTGCACGCCGACAGTGATGAACGAGTTGTCTCGTGCTTTCTTAACTTTCATATCGACATCACTATATCAAGTTATATATGGTGCTTGCAAACACCAACCTAGCCTACTTCATGCCTTTTGTTAATATATAACGAATACCTTCCATAACACTTTTTTTTAATAATTGCAAGCGCTATTTGAATTATTTCTAGTTATATAATACATTAGGATTGATTATCTGCCTTGAATTCGACATGCTGAGATGATTTGGTTTTTTATCAATCGCAATTTAATCGAACAAGAGTACACATTGCAAACATTGCTCCTAATTCTGAACTTTTAAAGTACATACAAGTAACCACAATAACTCAACAAAAATTACCCACCGTCGTCATAAGCTCTACCATTCCTGAGAAGGCCTCAGCTCCTCTTGCAGGAGTAATGGGTGAAGAGATAACAGAATGACTTCGTGTAACCAGATTTAGTAGACGATGTTGCCTGTTTCCGAAAACATGGTGTACAAGAAAGAATCGTCTGCAACGTACCTTTTTTTACCTAACCATTTCTTCCTTTGCAGTAGCCGTTTTTCGTTGCTTTGCGTTTGCCCCTTTTTCCTGCGTCTGTGCTGTAACGCACTCTAGTAACAGAAGTCACTCCCCCTTTCAGACAGTGGCATATAACGTCGCGTGACGACATGTACGTGTGGTTCCCATGACAACCAATGAAGTAAGAATATCTGCAAGGGCTGCGACACACGTAACTACAAGAAGACGTGGGTAACGAAGATTACTCCATACTATTAAAGATATATTAGCTGCTGTTAACGCTTAAGATTTGAGACATTTAAATATTAAAAATTAATGAAATATTAATATTAGAAAAACGTCAATATCTTTCGGTTTTTAGGTATGAATGTTTCTAACGCTCTTTTAATTAAGTGACTCACGAAAAAAGGTTTAAGTACGATCTATGCGTGCGCGCACCTGCACACGCATATGCCTTTGGGAATGAAAATGTTGGCTCACTTCGCCCAGAAAAAACTATTAGATTATTTCAGAAGAAAATTTAAATATTTTCAGTTTGTTTTATTTTCTTATTTCACCTAAGAACACGAATTTGGTGCTCGCTATTGTAGCTTGTTGTAAATGCATTGGTTTAATAACGTTACGAGAACACACATTTAAACAAGCATTTAGAACTTACCCCCCTGTGGCACAGCCGTAACTCTGCGGATATATAACGCTAGAAACAAACAAACAAATTTTAGAAATTTTCTGTCAAAGAATTTACGAATAGTGTGTTTGTAACTAAAAGCGGAAGTCTCCATTCTGTCCACAAGCTAAATATCTAAGCTTTTGAGGTTCAATACAAAAATACTCTTACGAATTATTCTTTCATCAAAATACTTCCTTAGCTACTACTTAAACTTTTTAAATTTTAGCTCTTTCCCCACCGTAGATCATTTTTACGCGAGTAACATCGGTTTATTTATTTGTTTTAGAACAAAGTCACATGAGATAAATTTGTAAATTTACTACTGTTCTACCGGGGGACGAGTAGCATCGGTTAACGATTTAAATAATATAATAATAATAACAGGGTTTGTTTGTAGTTAAGCGCAAAGCTTAACAATGGGCTATCTGTGCTGTGTCCACCACGGGTATCGAAACCCAGTTTTTTGCGTTATAACTCCGCAGACTTAAAAGGAACCAAAGATGTTTGAAATGTTTAATTTATCACCAAAGAGCAACCTAATTTGTTAAATTATGTAACGTTTCCTTTTTTTAATTTTTTTTTATCGAGCTACGAGAATCTAATATATGTAATCTCGTGCTTTCATTTCTGTTGAAAAAGAGCTTTATGTTTAGTTAGAAAATGTACAAACTGATGGTATACTGATAACTTGCCAGAAGTTCAAGTCGCACGACGTTTCGGATCACTTTCACATTTCTTCTTCATGTTAGTGTTGCGTGGTACGTTTATTTAAAAAATGTACTTTTACAATTGAACATTTAGAGTTATTAGAAAGGTTCAACGCAGCAATCGTCTTTTGGGAGTACAAAATATACATCATAAATAAATGTCGAAAGCCTTTTGTTTTGTTTTTTAGCGCAAAGTTACACAATCGATTGTCTGCGCTCTTTCCACAGCGGGGAATCGAGTCCCGGATTTTAGCGTTGTAATTCCGTAAACTTATTGCTGACTCACCGGGTGATAAAAATCTTTTATTCATTTTAAATAATTGCGTTTCTTAAACTATGGGAAAGTTATATTCGTGAAATTAACTCATTTAATTTGATAAGTTTTTCTTATCATTTTATGTTTTTCATTTAGATTAGTATTGGCCTAAAGTCAGTCCTAAATTTATATTTCAGCTGTTGCACGTATGCAGATTATATATTTGGTTCCTTAAGTTGAGAGTAGATAATAAACAAAATTATATATATATACATACACGTATAAAAGTGTTAACAACTATTTCTAAAGACCACGATAGTAAGCTTTTTTATATATGTAAAAGTTTAATTTTGTTCTGAATTTCTGTACAAATATGTTAATAATGTTTGTTTGTTTGCGATTAAGCACTATGCTACACAATGGGCTATCTGTGCTCTGCCCACCACGGGTATCAAAACCCGGATTCTAGCGTTGTAAGTCCGCAGACAGTATAAGCAAACAAAGATTTTGTCGTAAAAACAGAAATATGGCAATATGTTGCATAAAATACGTAAGTACAACAAAGGTACATTTGAAATGCCAGAAGATTTATATACATTAGTAGAATACTGTAATTTATTGGGCTTTTAACATATACTTTGAATTGAGAGCACATAAGCTTGTTAAGAATGTAAAGTTGAAGGATTTTCGGAATTAACAATATCTCATGATACTGTACGTCTAAAACTCAAGATATGAAACAGAATGAAATTTGTAGAAAAGACAATCTCACAAGCACTTCATTCTGACGCTTCCACAAGCCTATGGCTGGCACAGAAACAAAAAATATGGCGACGTCAGTCATTTACAAAGTATATGGTACCACACTCTGTACATATGAAGACCAAGGCAAAGCCTTGACACCTAGATACATTAACCAAAGTGACCATAGGGACATGCAAGGGGGTTCAAGCTACAGAAATCCCTACATGAGTTACTACTACCTGCGGACATGGAAGTCCTCTTTAGCTTGGACGAGTTACACAGAGTTATAATTAGGTATAAAGATGGAGCAGCTACAGGGCTGTATGGTGTAACAACCTTTACCTTTTGAAGTTAATGTCGGAGTATCAATGTAGTTGGGCAAAAGGCAGCATCCCTGAAATGTGGACTGATTCTTTTATATATAATTCATACCTAAACCCATGAAGGATCACTTTTCTCTTAGAAACCATCGATTCATTGTTCTTCAAAAATCATAAGTAAGATTCATGAGAAGACTGTAGCTATAAGGTTTACCTATCAGATTGAACCACTAATACCTCACCATTAAGTGTTAATCGCGTTTATTTTGGTCAACGCTGCTTAATTCATAACTGATACATAAGAAGTCCTTGAGGCTGGCCTTAACACCTTGGTAGTAGCTTTAGATCTGGAAGATGCCTATAATAGAATCCAGCTGCCCATTTGTGCCGACAAAATGTATCAAATAAATATCAGTTTAACTTGTGTAAGATGGGCCGTGGCTGAATTAGCTACCAGGAAATGTATCTTGAAGCATGGAAGATGGCAATTAGACTGGATCACCAGAATACTGGTTTGACTCAAGGGTAACCATCCTCGTCAGGCTTCTCCAATATCGATACCATTAATGATCCAACTCAATGTCATATGCTAACTTTTGCTGACGACATTCTAATGTACAGCAGAAGCTCTAATCGAAAGAAACGTGCAACCACCTCTTAGCAGTGAGAAAAAATGGTGCAATGACATAGGAATGTCATAAATCCTGTCAAAGCTACAGAAAAAAAGACATGCAGATGAGGGTAAATCATCGCCATCCTTTGCGAGCACTGTCACCCATTCCTCTTGAAGAAACACTGAAATACCTGTGATTAACCTTTGACAAACAACTTAACTTCACCAGCTACATTAACACCATGACAATCAAAGACATCAATGCATTGAAAGTTTAAGTGGAAACAGAGACATAGAACGTTATCTTTTCTATCAAAGTTTTATCTGCTCCATCCTGGATTATGCACTACCGATGGTCAGTACGAGTGCTCTGTTGCCAGGTAAGACCAAAAAGGACATTCAAGGTCCATAATGATTTCACAGACATTATCCAAGCAGAACGATTCTCTAAAAGGCACCTCAGTCATGGGTTAAGATAATTGGTCACCACCAAATCTCAGACCCCTATATGCAATAAATATCTGGCACCACAAGAATCTGTGGAAATCAGCCTCGATAGTAAATGTGGAGATTGGGCAGGGGGTAAAGCTGAAAAAAGCCTTTCAGTCTCTATTTAAATACTATTGTGGATAGTTACCTGTCATCTTAGCTATAGATGTCTCTTATATTACAGGTAGCGAAAGAACTGGTTGGATATTTGTCGTCTCTCGTAGGTAGAAAAGGAAATGATGGGGAATCGTTAAAACAGTATACAGTCAGAAGGCTACTGGTAACAGCAGTAAAGGAACTCTCTTCCTCTTTCCTACCTCCTGCGAAACAGTTGGCCTCCATGTGAGGGGTCAGTGCTTGTCGGCACAACTCTAGTCAACTAGTAATCAACATTTACAGTGATTCCAAATTTAATCGAAACAGCTCTCTCTATGCCATGTTTGTTAACAACGCTCATGATTTTAACTTAAGCCTATTCGAATTAGGTGATGTATCGCCATGATATCATTAGGTAACATCACAAAAATATAAAACAGGTACACACACACACACACACACACAACAAAACAATAATAATAATTTGGCAATTCAAAAGAAAGGGTTAATAACATGTATGATACACACACGCATTTAGTTTTTCATCTATTCAATTGGTCGGTATCACCTGAAACCTAGGGAGAGGTAACAGAGTGAATACATATTCAGCTAACTTTGTTGAAATTAAATTTATAAATATAACGTGACAACTCAATGTAAAATGTTTTTTACTATAGACGCCAGATGTTTATAAATACATTCATTGGAGAGTGGGCAAAGATCTTTTCACCGTTCTTCTATTTCAGCCACATTACTTTATTTTGAAGAATTTTGTCTAAATATTTAATAGGGAATTTCTGAAGAAGTGCTGTAAACTTTCTGAGAACTTACGTACCGAAAATCGTCTTCTAAATATAAAAAACTTTATATTTGAATGTATGTTTTTTGACTAGAAAAAACAATCACCATTATCATTATCTCTGTTTTATAGAAACAACGGAATCCTACAAAAACAGCCTGAAGCTGTTCCGAAATAAATGGCTCCATATAGTAAACTAATCAAAGTTACAATTTTTGTCACAAAAATGAAACTGGATAAGCTTGTTAGCAATAGATGTGAAATAAGGCAAAACAATTCAAAGTGTCTGTTTGATAAATCTAAAGTGCACAGAAGAACAAAAAAGGAAAATGCATATTTAATTAAACAGCTCGTATGGGACTAACATATAGAGGAAAATGGCCACGGTTGA